CGAGATCGCGCCACTGCACTCCAGCCTGGGCGACAGAGCGAGACTCCGTCTCAAAATAAATAAATAAATAAATAAATAAAATAACAATAATAATAATGTAAATGGTGGCTGGATGTAGTGGCTCACATCTGTAATCCCAACATATTGGGAGGCTGAAGCAAGAAGAGCACTTGAGCCCAGGAGTTCGAGACCAACCCGGGAAACACAGGGAGACCCCGTCTCTACTAAAATTTAAAAAATTAGCCAGGTGTGATGGCACTCGCATGTGGGCCCAGCTATTAGGAGGCTGAGGCAGGAGGATAGCTTGAGCCTGCAGGCCCAGGCTGCAGTGACCCTGATCACGCCACTGCACTCCAGCCTGGGCAACAGGGTGAGACCTTGTCTCAAAAAATAATAAGTAAAGGGTAAATATTGGTCTAAACAAAATAATGATCCAATGACCCTGGGAAGATGTGGGAAGTGTGTGGGTCATGAGGTAGGGGATGAAGAGGAAAGAGCCAACCTTTGTCTTCCTTAATGGAAACTCAATAAAAAATTCATAAAACCAAAAAAATCAAGAAGTAGCATTATATGCAGGATATTTCAAGATTTGGGGGTAGATTTTGAAAAAAACAGCAATCAGAGTTGAAAGTGGTTGCCTCCAAGGTGGGGCAAATGAGGGTAAGAACTGTTTTTATAACAAGCCATGCAGCGCTGTTTGATATTTTACATTATGTACATATTTGGTAAGATGAAAGCAGATTATATTCAGATTTCCTCTCCCTGGTTTTGGTGTGCTGTGTATATTAAAATGCAGAAACATAGGAAATATTTTCAGGGGAAATATTTTTACTGTGAACTCAAATTCTAAACAACCTTAAAAATGAAACATACAGGCCAGGCACAGTGGCTCAGACCTGTAATCCCAGCACTTTGGGAGGCCAAGGCAGGCAGATCACCTGAGGTCAGGAGTTCTAGACCAGCCTGGCCAATATGGTGAAACCCTGTCTCTACTAAAATTACAAAATTTAGCTGGGCATGTTGGCACGTACCTGTAGTCCCAGCTACTCAGGAGGCTGAGGCAGGAGAATTGCTTGAACCTGGAGGCAGAGGTTGCAGTGAATTGAGATTGCACCACTGGGTGACAGAGCGAGACTCCGTTTCAAAAAAAAAAAAAAAAAAAAGCCAGGTGTGGTGGTGCGTGCCTGTAGTCCCAACTACTTGGGAGATGGGATCCCTTGAGCCCAGGAGGTCAGGGCTGCAGTGAGCTATAATGGCGCCACTGTACTCCAGCCTAGGAGACAGAGCGAGACCCCATCTCTTAAAAAAAGAAACACACAAAGCCTTGAAATTTTTGCTTTGCCACATTTAATAACAAAAATGATTGTAACAGTTTTGCTACTATTCATGCATGATGATATACTATATGTGGCTTTCATATGAGCTCATCAGCTGATGCAGAGATTTGATTAAAATGGGGAAAAGTGAGAATGCTTTGTTTTCTGATCAACACAAGTTCAAATAGAAACAAGTGACTCTTTTACCTTAGTTTACAGCCAGATTGCATAGTGTAACCAAATAATACTGGGGTCCGGACCCCCTCCAGTGCTAAGCAGTCTTGCTCAGCTGTGCTATGAAGAATAGTAAACTGTCTGTATCTGTTCGTGGTCTGAATAATCCCAGACATTCACAGACAGTTAAGGGACAACTGCCTAGTGGTAGAGCAGCCTGATTCTCAGGTAAGAAGACAGTGTCACTGTGTGACATGAGGGAGACCCAAATACACTTTTTCTGGGCCTCTGTGATTTTGACAGCTATTTCCCAGGAGTGGGCAAAAAAGTAGTCCTATTTTCCTCAGTAAGTGGATTCTCAGAAGAAAAATTATCAGAAACTGGCCCTTCAAAATTGTTTAAATGTGAAATTAAAAACGTTTAAATGTCAACTTTTCTCTCTTAAGATTTTCGTTGTAAAACACTGACATATTTTGTGGCTTAATGGCAGGCTGGAAAAAAAAAAGGAGATTTAAAAAAAAAACCTGACATTTTCCCAGGATGTGCTGTCTCACCCCCAACTGCCAGTCTCCCCCCAGCCCACCTGCTGTGTAGCCAGACTGGCCGCCCACCAGAGCCACCTGCAGGAAGCTCGGCCTGGACTGCTCTCTTCTTCCCACAAGCAGCCCAGGGGAGCCTCGGCGATAAAAAGCAGTGCAGCCCACGCACACGGAGACAGGAATAAATCCACCCTCTACAGAACCAAAAAGGATATCCCTTATGAGGCTGGAATCCAGCAGCTAACGGGAGCCCCACGACATAACCAGGGTTTCCACTGAGAGGGACTGGCTTGGTATTTTCCTGAAAGACAGTGTAGAAATGCCCCCAAATAATTCTCATTTTAATAAGGAAATGGCAGGGAGAAAAATGCTTCTTTCATAATAAAATCTGGAATTAACAACCAACAAAATAATTTCTCCCTCCCTACTCAGAACTATAAATACATCTGCCAGGTGTAGGAGTACATCATACTGTAAAAGAACAAGCTAACGTGGAAGGGAATCTTTTCCCAAAAGGAAAAAAAATACAAGGAGAATGCTTGGTTTCATTACAGATGCCACAGGCTACACAAAGCCCTCTGTTCACTACAAAGGCTTGGATGTAATACTTAGAAATTCAGTTTTATCCACTAAGAAGTCATTATTTCTTTTTAACTTGGCAATTAAATACTTATGCCAAATTGATCAACCTTACCTGAAGAAAATGAATTTCAAACTTTTGCTGCAGTGGGACCACTACACTGCTAACTGTCCCCAGAAGGAATGACAGATCAGCTTTGGTGACTTCACCTCTATCTGTGTATGTGAGGCTGTATTTTACCTAAAAAAAAATGATACTCCTAATATACCTGTTCCATTACATTTCAGAAGCTGTATGAATAACTGAAAATACCCACAGATAGCAAATCTTTCCCCATTTCTCCATGTGTTAAAGCCTTGCTCTGCTGTCCAGTTGGATTACGAGAGGTGTTCCCTCAGCACCACCCCTAGCAGACAAGGTCATCTGAGCCACTCTGCCCAATTACAGAAGTTCCACATAAGCTGGTCCAAGCAGAATGTAATAAGCCTATCTCTGCAGAGGAAACATGTTAAAACAAAAACAGCAACAACAAAAATATTTTGATGTATTCCGGCAAGTCACTAGGTTTGTGGAGACAAGAGGTGTCCTTTGATGAGACAGCAGAAAGGCAAGCAGGCAGCCAAGCCAGGTAAAGCCACACCACAGGCTAGGACAGAGTGTCCTCGGACGGCATCCAGTTACCCCAGCACGACAGGAGGCTTAAGTCTGCCACAGACAAGCTCTCAAAGCCAAATTCGGCACCTACCTCAAGAACAACATTCATGCAAAGGTGAAAGTGTCCAGCATTGACGAGAGCCGGCTGTAGCACCTCAGTGTCTTCCCGTCGGGTGAGTGTTTTATTTAGAGACTGAATGAGGACGGACTGAACAGTGATAGGGACCTGCAGAGCGAAGACCAGGAGTGTTGAAGACGCTCTACCCAGGGAGGATGGGCTAAAATAACAACCAACTGGAAAGAAACCTCCCCTGATATATGGCCAAGTAGGGGGAAGCATGCTACACAACATGTGTATACTATGATCCACATTTGCAAAAGTAATAAACATATATACATTCACAAAGAAAATACTTGAGGATATAACCAAAACTTTAAAAGTAGTTACCTCTAATAACAAAGTTTACACAAAAACTTGTACACAAATGTTCACAGCTGCACTATCATAATAGCTAAAACCAAAAACCACCTAAATGTCCATCAACTGATGAATGGATAAATACAAAGTCTAGCCTTACAAAGGAATATGACTTATCCTTAAAAATAGTACTAATACATGCCACAGTACAGATGAATCTTGAAAACATGCTAAGTCATAAAAGCCAGACACGAAAGGCCACACTTCTAATTCCATTTATACGGAATGTCCAATTGGCAAACCCATAGAGATGAAAACTAGATCAGTGGTTGCCAGGGGCTGGGGGACAGAGCTGGGGAAGAATGAGGAGTGACTGCTAACACAGGGCTCCTTTTTGGGGTGATGGAAATGTTCTGGAATTAGTGGTAATGGTTGCACAACCTGTGACTATACTAAAAGCCACAGAATTGTATACTTTAAAATGGTGAGTTTTATGGTATGTGAATTATATCTCAAATACATACACACAAAACTCCATCACACGGTCAAGCGCACATATATATCCTCACCTCCAAAACACAACTCCTACACACTCCATACCCACACATGCACATTCACACACAGTCCCAGGATACATATCCTTAAGCCCCCACACACCCCCGAATATTCATTTGACCCAATTTATACACAACTTCTACACAAATGCAAGTGCACACACACATAAACACACACATACACAGTGGTTTCTCTGGGTGGTAGGATTATGAGCAATAGAAAACAGACACAGACAAACGTTTTCAGCAACACCAGGAAGCCCTGCTTATCCCAGTGCTATTAAAGGACATTTTGCATTCATGGCCACCGCCAGCAGACTAGCAAGGCATCAACCCATCCTCTAAAGGTAGCTGGGCCTCCTCACACTATAGGATGAATCTGTCATTTGCTCTAAACTTCAATTCTTGGAAACCACTGTTGAGGAAGGAGCCTCATGTATCTATTAATAGTTGTTTATACCACTTTGAACTTAATCATGCACCATGCTGTTTATAATTCAAAATGACCAAGTATTTAAGCAGTCATTTTAGAGATAAATAAGCAGTCCTTATGTGTCTGCCCCCATGACCAAGAAGACCTGCGAGTCAAAACCTCTCACAGAAGAAAGTGACATGACTCAGTAACAAAGATGTGAGCTGTCATGTGACGAGAATGGCAGAAGGGCAACGCCAGTCACCGCGAAGCCCTCTGCATAACACACCGCACCAAAGAGTTTCAGCATGGAGGGGATCCTAGGCTGCGATTCAATTAGCTCTTGTTTAACATAAGGACAACCCGGGTTCCTTACTCTGAGCACAGTGGCCCCTGATTCAGCAATGACACCAGGTTCCAAGAAAGAGCATAGCCTGCCATACCAGCCTCTGCTGAAGCCACTTCCATGGTGTGTCCGTGGAATTGGCAAAAACCAAAGGATTCAATATCAATGAGCTTTGGAGAGTCCTGGTGTCAATGGCAGTAGCTGCCCTCATCTCAGCAGCTCACTCAACAGTGACGAGAAGGAAACGGTAGGGCCATGCTGATTTCCTTGATTCCTCTTCCACCACATACCATTCCCAAACCACACACTGGTAAAGAACTCCAGCATACTCAGTGAAACTACAGGGCTACCCTGGAATCATTTACTGATGGCTTCACAGATACTGTCAATGATTCCAGGCAATCATAACAGTCTTCACTTAGTGAGGAGATTAGACCCAATTTCTATACTCCTGATCCTCTAACCTTAAAATCTGCTTAAGAAAATTTTAAACAAATTCCTGCTATTAGTTTACATGCTTGTCCTTTAGAGCACAACCTTTGGTGTCACACAGACCTAAGCTGGAAGTCCCAGTCCACTGGGTGTGTGTAGCCTGTCACGTGGGCTCAGAGAGAGCTGGCCCAGTGTGGTGGTAAAGTATAAGGTCCCTGGGGCCAGACCGCCTAGATTCCTGTCCCAGCTCTGCCACTTCCCAGCTGTGCAGCCGTGGGCAAGCTCATTCATCTCCCTGTAACTCATCTGCCAGAGAGTGACAGTAACTGAACCTACCTCCTAGGACAGCCAAGAGGATTCAAAGATGGTGGACACGTACGGCACTTAGAATGGTGCCTGGCATCTGCTCCAAGCCTCTCAGTAACATCCATCACATTCCTCATAATAGGTCTTTCCACACTTACTGGACCCACCTCCTTCCTAGTCATTCATCACTAAAAACATAACTCACTGAGTGCCCAGAACATACCGGACGCTGCATTAGAAATACGGATATATCATGAACAAGGCTGATAGGGCTGCTGCCCCCACAGACGGTTCCAGTTTTAAGTGGTAGAATCCAAGCCCTCTCTAGGGATTGGAGGGAGGTGAGAGCTAGCCCATTGCATGACTTTCACACTGCATTCCCGGGAGCCCTAGCGTTCTTTACTGGGACCAAAGAGGAAAGAGAAGGAGACTGGGCAGGTGGAGGGCTTCAGGCCCCATCCCTGCTCCAACCAGCACAGCTCCACATTCAGTCTGTGTTATACTCTAGGGAGGGTTCCGCTTCAGACTGCATTTAAGAAAGGATATCTATAACTAAAACAAGTTTGAAAACACAAGTAACATCCAGTAACATCCATCATTCCTCATAATAGGTCTTTCCATCCTTCACAGAAGACGGGATCCAGCCCCACACACCATTGTGTGAGACCCAAAGTCACGTGGCTATTTCCTTTCAAACATCTCCTTCAAACACGTTTGTGTGCAGAGCATCAGTGAAGTCAATCACAGCCAGTGCATCCCCATCCCAAGTGCATCCCATGCGCAGATGCCACACCAGCACCTCATGTGCTTCTCCCACTTGACCCTGCATCACGCCTCTGCACAGATACTTACCATCCACTCAACAAAGGGAGAACTCAGTGTTACTAAGACAAGAAAATAATGGCAAAGCTGAGGTTTGAACCTAGGCTGGCCAGTTCCATAGGCTGGGAAACTAGGACAAAGCCACCAACTCAGGCCTCCATGGGGACTGTGTTCACAGGCAGGCCTAGGCTACAGACCCTAGAATAAGGGGTGAGGGATCCACATTCCTTTGACATAGCCATGAAGAGACCCTGGCATCCTGACCACAACCAAGCAGAACCCTGGGCTGGGGCGATAAGGTTTTGAAAAGAACCCACCCTCAAATAAAGCCCTGAAGGTACACTGTGGGGCACGCCTCCCACATGGTGTGGACACCTACTGGCCAGCTTCTGTCCTGGACAGGCAGCATCCTGGGAGCTGGACAGCTTTCTCAACAAGAGACCAAGAAGAGAACAAGGGACAGCCTGAATGTCCAGAATCTGTCAATCACACCCACTGCTGGTCACGACAGTGGTGTCACTGAACCGTAGAAGAGTACAAAACCACAACAACGGAGGCAGCTGGAAAGCCCAGAAGTGTTACTCCCACTAAGGAGTTTCCCTATTGCTCTTCTGCTTGCTTTTTGGCAAATGTATTTGCTATTGACAACAAGGTCCCCTTCTAACTGTAACTGTATTCCTTTAAAAGGGCTCAGAAATAAGACAGAGTATTATAAACTTTCTACTTTCCCTTACAAAAAAAAAAAACACTCTTACCTTTGTTCTTGAATCAGGTGTCTAGATAAAAAGAAACCACAAAAAATTGTGTTAAGTACAACAAAAAGAAGCATTTTCATTGCTTTTTCAGATCTTGAGTTGAAGAGTATATTCATCTTATTAAAGGTTTCACAAAGAAGAAAACAGAATTTCCTTGATCAAAACTTCCCATCTCCATCTGTTTGAATCTACGTCCTACTCAAAGAGGTCACGTTGCATTTTCCTTCTATCTTCATTTCCTCCAGGTTGAAGCTCACTGAGCTAGTCTCAGGAAGGTTCCATGCTCCAGGGTCATTATTGTGTATTATCTGTGTATTTCACGGCCGTAAGCACTGTGAGAAGCACAGTTCTTGCACTCCTGGTCACTCTCACTGCACCTGTCCTTGCTGGAAGGCCACCATTCCTTGCCCAGGCGATTTCCACATCCTAACTGGTCTTCCTGCCTCTGGCCCAAGCCTCCTCAATGACAAGCCCTTGCCTCCCCAGTAGAGCCGCAGCTCTGTTTCTGAAAGGCCCACTGGGAAATGTGGGGAGGGAGACAAATACACCTGTTTGGAGAGACTGTGCTGAAAGAGAACTGTACCTGGATGCCCAAGGAATTACTTCAAGACAACTGTGAGCTCAAGCTAACTAGAAGAATTCACAAGCCTGGATGGCTGACTTACACAAGAGAGGGAGAGAGAAAATGAGAGGAGAGGGAAAGGTTAAACTTGATCCTAAAAACTGAAGTCCAGACAAATAATGGTGCCATGAACCACCCTACCCCTGTACCCCTCATAAAAAGGAAATTGAGAAGGGACCCCTTTGACAATAATCATATGTTTCTGGCGGGGGGTTATTTTGTTTTGTTAGAGACCAGGTCTCACTCTGTCACCCAGGCTGGAGTGTGATCATAGCTCATTGCAACCTTTAGCTCACTGCAACCTCAGCCTCTTGGGCTCAAGTGATCCTCCTGTCTTAGCCTCTTGAGTAGCTGGGACGACAGGTATGCACAACCATGCCACACTAGTTTTTTTATTCTTTGTAAGGCAGGGTCTCACTATGTTGCCCAGGCTGGTTCTTGAACTCTTAGCCTCAAGTGATCTTCCTGCCTCAGCCTATCATATGGTTTTTTAATCATTGAAAAGTCGTCTTGCCTTGCCACCCTCCATCTCATCTGTCATGTGGGCCAGTGGCCTCACTCATTTCTTCAGTTTAGGGTTCAGACACTGCAACCAGAGAGAAGGGGCCCTTTCACCACCGTGCCCTCTTCTCCCATTTCCTGTTCTTTCCTGACTGCCTGTGTCATCTGCCAACCAAAAAGTGGATTTCCTCTTATTTTCTGGCCTGTTTCTGAGAGAGAGCCCTTTTTGGGGCTAATAAGATTATTTCTGGGGGCTGGGCGCGATGGCTCAAGCCTGTAATCCCAGCACTTTGGGAGGCCGAGATGGGTGGATCACGAGGTCAGGAGATCCAGACCATCCTGGCTAACACGGTGAAACCCCGTCTCTACTAAGAAATACAAAAAAACTAGCCGGGCGAGGTGGCGAGCGCCTATAGTCCCAGCTACTCAGGAGGCTGAGGCAGGAGAATGGCGTAAACCTGGGAGGCGGAGCTTGCGGTGAGCTGAGATCTGGCCACTGCACTCCAGCCTGGGCGACAGAGCAAGACTCCGTCTCAAAAAAAAAAAGAAAAAAAAAAAGATTATTTCTGTCACAGACATGAAGATGTTTTTATGATTTCTAAAGTTTTTAGTTATTAGTAAAGATTTGTTTTTATTCAGGAGACAGGTATTGGTTACCATCAAAATGAATGAAAGAAAAAAATCAACAAAAGCAAAATATGAGCTAATTATATAAAAATAAATTATTTAAAGGATTATTTCAATAATCACTGATACAAAAGTACTGGAGAAATTTAAACTTGAGTGTCAATCATGTACTGAAATTATTCTATACTTGTCATATTTTAAAAGGGCAGAAAGAACAGAAACATACCTAATGAGTAAGTTCCACTTCAAAACAATTCTTACCCTCAGAATTTCCGGGCTGCTGTAAAAAGCCATGCTGAGGGCTTCAATTTCTTCACACTGTTCTAAATTTATTTTTCTGGTGCACCTAACAGCCTGGTTCACCAGAAACGCTGGAAATCATTAACATTCCCAAGGGAAAAAAATACAAAAGAGAAGAAATTTTTCAATTTCCCAATGGCAACTAAAAAATTGCAATCTAGGTAAAACTGTAAAATAAGTTACAACACAGATATACAATTTTTTTATTTTTATTTTTTTAGTAGAGACAGGGTTTCACCATGTTGCCCAGGCTAGTCTCAAACTCCTGACCTCAAGTGATCCTCTCGCTTCGGCCTCCCAGAGTGCTGGGATTACAGGTGTGAACCAGTGTGCCTGGCCTACGATATTTTAAACAGGGTTTTAAATTATTTTTCAAATAGGTAATACATTCATGAGATTGTATTCAAAATTCAAAAAGCACAAAAAGATAATAAGTAAAGCCCCCTCCCATTCCTGTCTTGCCCCCCACCTACCACCAGTCCCCTTCTCCAGAGGCAACTGGCAAGAGGCTTCTTGTGTATCTTTCGAGAAATATTCTATGGAAAAAAAGCAAATATGTGTGTAAAAAACATATATATATAGTTATTATTCTTTCCCCTTTTGGAAACAAATGTACAATATATACACTATTTTGCCCCTCATTTTGTTCACTGAACAATATATCTTAGAGATTGGCCTGTCTTTACATGAAGCAGCTCTTCCTTTCTTGGAGATAATTACTATTATATTATAGATGTGGCATAATTATTGTACCAGTTCCCTATTAATGAGCATTTAAGTTGTCTCCATCTTTGCTATCACCAACAATGCTGCAATCTATTATTTTGCATGTTGGCCAGCATTTCTGTAGGATCAACTCCTGGAAGTAGAACAGCTGGGTTGAAGAGCACATTTATTGGTAATCTGGATACAAATTGCTAAGTTGCCCTTCACCAAGGTTGTACCAGTTTAGTCTTATCAGCTATGTAGGTGAGTGCCTATTTCCCCACAGCTTCAGTTTTTTTGAGTTTTGCCAATCTGACAGGGGAAAATGGTATCTGAGTTTGGTTTTTAGGTTTTGTCGCAGTGGGGGAGTTGTTTTTGATTTTGTTTTCTTTTTCTTTTTCTTTGAGTCAGGGTCTCATTCTGTCACCCAGGATGGAGTGCAGTGGTGCAATTTCAGCTCACTGCAACCTCCACCTCCCTGGCTCAAGCAATCTTCCTACCTCAGCCTCCTGAGTAGCTGGAACTACAGATGTGCATCACTATGTCTGGCCTGATTTTTGTAATTTTTATAAAGACAGGGTTTCGCTATGTTGCCCAGGCTCAAACTTCTAATCTCAAGCAATCTGCCCACCTCAGCCTCCCAAAGTGCTGCGATTAGAGGCATTAACAGCTGCACCCAGCCTTTGGTTTGGTTTTAATTTACACTGTTCTTGGTGTGTGCAAGATTGTCTTTTCAGCAGAATACATTTTCCTATCGTCCATTACTTAGCTTCTTCATTGTGAGGTCCCTTGGGGATGGCAGAGCCAAGCCTGCTGCCTTCCACTGCCTAGGGGGCCACTCTGCAAACTCCTGGAGGCCCCTGAACGGAGAGAAGCATAGGGGAGCACAGGCTGCAGGCCAACTGCATCCCTGCTCCACCACCACCTGAGTGAGCCTGAATAAGAAACTGCACATCTCCGTTTCCTGCTCTAAAAAAGGGAGATACTGGCCGGGTGTGGTGGCTCACACCTGTAATCCCAGCACTTTGGGAGGCTGAGGTGGGCAGATCACAAGGTCAGGAGATCGAGACCATCCCGGCTAACAATGGTGAAACCCTGTCTCTACCAAAAATACAAAAAATTAGCCAG